CTCTGGTACTGACTGGCTCCTTCTGCTCTCTGTCACTGGCTGACTGCTGCTCTCTCTGTCACTGGCTGGCTGCTGCTCTCTCTGTCACTGGCTGGCTGCTGCTCTCTCTGGTACTGGCTGGCTGCTGCTCTCTCTGGTACTGGCTGGCTGCTGCTCTCTCTGTCACTGGCTGACTGCTGCTCTCTCTGTCACTGGCTGACTGCTGCTCTCTCTGTCACTGGCTGGCTGCTGCTTTCTCTGGTACTGGCTGGCTGCTGCTGACTGGCTGCTGCTCTTTCAATTCAGAGATCTCTAATTTCATCACAGAATCTAGTCTGTTGGACATGGATATAAATAGTTAGGTTTACTTTACATGGATGTTATTTGCCATCTCCAATGTTCTCAACTATCTCACCAGGGAGTTCTCATAATGCCAGGAATTGATGACTTACATGGAAGGAAATGACTGGAATTTTGAAATCCAGTCAGAACAATGATACTATGTAGCAAAAAATGACAGTGAGGGAGGAGGGCAAAATCAGTCTAACTTTGACATGCAAGATGCATTATAGATGACTTTGGAGAGCTTGGACGATTACACATTTCCATCTTTTTTGCTTGTAGCTGCAGTTTTACTAAAACTGCAGAGATCTCACAACTTTGTGTTAACACTGGTAGCATTGAATTGGCTGGCACTACCTAGCCTGCTTGTCCTCTTCTGGAAGATCATCCATGTTGGGGCCATTTGTGTACGGAACCACAATTGTAACAAATTCATGCATGGTGGTCCTCCAGCGCATTAGCAGAATGAAAGACATTTTGTTCAATTCAACAAATCGACTCCTAATTCACTAGTTTATATACTGAGGTCGCTACTCCTTCTACCCAACTATCCATGTAGTGGCCGAGTATCTTCTCCACTTCAATATTACTTTGGACAGTGGCCAATGTATGCTCTTCCATTAATTCAGTCCTACAGGTGTCTATGGAAATGTTCTAGCATATGTTAAAATTCTCAATGCTATGTTGAAATCGTTTTACAGGCAAGCTACCAGAAAGCTTGTTGCCAAGCAACCACCATCCTGGTCTCTGTCAGAAGTGTTGGATTTCTTTAAAAACCCTTCATATGGACCCTGCCAAGATGCACCCTAGCTTTTGTTTGGTCTTTTCATCAGCCATATATAGATCTTTATTAGAAGGCAGGTCAAAGGTCACCATGCTGTCCTCCCCTGCATTTAGAGCTACGAAGCAGACAGCTTGAATTCTGTGTTTGGTCATATAGTACCACTGATTGCTTGAATTGTTCCTGTCCAAGCTCTACGTGTTTATTTAGCAAAACTATAGAAATCGGGGAAGTTGTGTAGTTATAGTCCCTTGTTTTTGCTATGCAAGAGGGATCAAATCAAGATAAACCCACCAGTTGTCAGATTTTAATGAGATGGATGGTAGCAGCAATGTTTGCAGTGCTGAATCCCCAGCTCAAGGGGGCGCATATATGCATGACATCCCGGCCAATACATTGATCTTTCTGCTCTGTGTCCCGCTACCCCTGATTATGATCCAAACACGTTTGTGGGCATCTAGAGTTAAATTGTACAGTTATAATAGATTTACGTTTGTTGTATTTATGTGAATTGTACAGTTGTAATATCTTTACATTTGTTGTATCTCCAGATGCTGAACCCCAATGCACTACCTGGTGTACACAACCTCATCAACAAATTAGCTGCCAAACAACAGCAGATATTTCGATTTATAGCTTTAAATGAGATCATCTTAATGCCCTGCATCATTTTTATGATATTCACGTGAGTATAAATATTCATACCTCATAAAAAATATATTAATAATCACACCTGTTAATTAGATATAAGTGATAATTGCTGGGATGAGTTAAAATGATGATTACATCAATAGAAGGTAATTAACTGATTATGTTGAAACTAGATGCAGTAATTAGATAACTTACAAATTAATAGTGTTAACTTTGAAGATTTATTGCTTTTACTGTATTGCACCCCATTTAAAACCAATCAAACTGTTTTATGCATTCACTGCGGTTGGTTGGCGAGTTTCTCTGGTGCTGTTTTATTGATATTTATGCAAGTACATTGACCTTTGTACAAAAATTGACATTTGTACAAGCACAACAGGTCTGGGTTTCTGCAAATCTCTCAAAGCAATCAAATCTTACATAAGTGTGTCATTTAACAGAAATACAAGAAAAATATTTTAAATGAATTTTATATATACCGGCAGTGGTTACAATTACCGTTAAATTTGATGATACCAGTTTCTAGAAGAGCACATCCTGTTCTTATTAAAACAGTGTGCTTCAAGTTTGTGCGAGACAAATTTCATGTTCTCACGGGAAATTGTAAACATTATAGTTTTTTAGTTTTCACAAACATCCACAAATGACAATATCTTTGAATTGTCACCGTAAACTTATATCCTCATCTATTCTGAAAGCTACATAGCTTGGTTCTTTCAATTGTGGATGTTGTCTTGTTCTGATCTTAATTTGTTTACTAATTTATTTGTTTGCTTCTTTACAGGGGTAGATGCTCACTGATACTGCCGTTTATTTATTATCGTTTCTTAACCTTTCGTTACACGTCAAGACGCAATGCGTATTGTAGGTGAGTAAAACTTGAGTCCGTCTTTGAACAACAGTCAACTTTTGTCATTATGCCACTGAATAGAACAGCATAAATGCTTCTGCACTTTTTTACAAATTTTTATCAACACCTGTCCCCAATGGAGAATTGTGTTCATCCGGTCAATATTAACAGGGATGAGAATTTTCCGCGGATCCGCGAAATTCCGCGGATTTCTAAGCCCCAGGGGTTTAAATCAGAGGAGAAAATTTTAGGGGGGGTGAGAATAGAAATCTTGTTTATTCACCGGAAGTAAACACACTGTCGGGTTATTGTTGTCGGCTGCAAGAAGTCTGTATCAGTGTATGGTCGAAGGGAGGCAACTCGCGGTGTCTCTAATGCGGCATGTTCAAGACTCTTTTTCAGTGCAATCGTAAAATCCAAAGTGGTTTCCAAGTGTTCAAAATAATATGTAACGATTAACATGATTGGCTGGGTTTGCTCTGAGTGAGCTGCCCTGTCGCCCAGCGGAACCAATGGCTTGGACGTAGACTCAGCCAAAGAGTTTACCTCGCAGGTAACGATTCCGTTCCCCACCTAGAGTAGGTACCGGTAATTAAACATGTTTGCAACACTGAAATTAATCCTGTTTTTTTTTTTTTTTCTTTCAGAACAATGTTTTATGAAATGAGAGTTGTTGCAGAGAATTACAGCCGGCAACCAAATTGCCCTGGTTTTGTCAGTAATATAATAACAAAAAGTATCATGTTTTTGAATAGACTGGCTCCACCCACAGCTACTGCACCACAACAACAGAGTTGAGGATAGATAACTCAGATATATGTTTATTTAGTTCTAAATAATATAATATTGAGTGAAATCAATGTACATAAATATAATAGTGTATTTAGAGTTGTGTGTCATCATGTGTAGTTACCATAGTTATGTATGAAACTAAACTGTCTTCTTTCTGTGTTGGATTGCACTGCTTAACCATACCACTTTGGTTCAATGTGTCACAATACATATTATGGCATAGTTGCCATGTCTTGTCTTTGGATTGCATACAATTAAAATGAACCATAAAAATGCTTGCTTAACTCTGTGTGGCGAACTGGAAAACATTGTAGCCATTACTGTACTACTGTGTAACAAGGTGCACTGAACTGCAAAGTGCCTAGGTGCACTATTGTGAAAAGTATCCAGGTGCACTCTGCACTACGATGTACTTTGGTTCACCATAGTGAAAATTACCTAGGCGCATGGCATTGCAAAGTGTCCTTGTGCGGTATCCAGGTTCTGCACTATGAAGGAGCCAGGTGTACTGCACTGCAAAGTACCATTCTGCACTGCAAGTACCACGGTGTACTGTACTGCACTGCACTGCAAGTACCGCAGTGTACTGCTCTGCACTACAAGTACCACGGTGTACTGCACTGCATAGTGCCATGGTGTACTGCACTGCAAGTACCACGGTGTACTGCACTGCACTGCACTGCACTGCACTGCACTGCACTGCACTGCACTGCACTGCACTGCAAGTACAACGGTGTACTGCACTGCAAGTACCACAGTGTACTGCACTGCACTGCAAGTACAACGGTGTACTGCACTGCAAGTACCACAGTGCACTGCACTGCACTGCAAGTACCACGGTGCACTGAATCTTGAATTGTGAGAAATGTTATGAGTTAAAATAATATAATGAAAAATGATATCAGTGTTTTGCAGTGTAAACAAATAAACCGCATGGTTTAAAACTTATTAACCAATAACTCAGAAAACACATAGTAAATTAATCAGATATTGATCAAATAACACTGTCTCTAGATGAATGTATGATAACAGTTGTGCAAAGTCCTGTGGAAAGCACACTGTTGGAGTGAAATGTCTCATCTCAGAGACCCTATTTACCTGTATCTGTTTTAATAAATGAACAAGTTGTGGCTAGTATAATTGTATTGTTTTTTCTATATTAAGACCTATATGTATGTGAATTATATGTTAATTGTCAAATTCTGTACACATAAGATGTAAGGTTATATTGGATTTGTATTTCTAATACAGCAAAATGTGGTAACATTGCGACAAACATAGTCAGGTTTTTTTTAATTTTATAAAATTTGATACTGCGATTTCTGTATTGATAAATTTGAAATGGAACTTCTTATTTTGAGAATTGTTCAGAAATGTTGAATGTTTTTCTGTCATTGGCATTAAGAACTGTTCTTTTGCCCCACTTGATGTTTTGACCCCCAACAAAGGCATATGTTGATTTAAAATAAAAACATCTGCTAAATTAATATAAACCAACTATTTTTTCCCCAGGTGCAGTTTACTGACCCCAAGGTTGTATATAATTTTCATTTACAATTATGTAAATCATAATATTTATTTCAATTATCAATAAATGAGAGAATTGTAAAGTAAATTATGTTTAAATTCCAGATGTATGCATAGACAGTTGCATCATGTGCATACACAATTGCTTTCTTTATGTGTGTTTAGTCAGTTGCTTCACATGTACTCACCGTTAGTTGTTTCATACGCACTCGCAGTCAGTTGCTTCATACGCACTCGCAGTCGGTTGCTTCATACGCACTCGCAGTCGGTTGCTTCATACGCACTCGCACTCGGTTGCTTCATACGCACTCGCAGTCGGTTGCTTCATACGCACTCGCAGTCGGTTGCTTCATACGCACTCGCAGTCGGTTGCTTCATACGCACTCGCAGTCGGTTGCTTCATACGCACTCGCAGTCGGTTGCTTCATACGCACTCGCAGTCGGTTGCTTCATACGCACTCGCAGTCGGTTGCTTCATACGCACTCGCAGTCGG